CATGAGCAAAACAGATAAAAATTAATCAATGATCATAAGCTACATAAGAATGCACAACTCAAAAACATACATGAGAGGTCACATAATGAATGTATATGTGCAATCCTTGAGAGGCCACAGAGCTAGAGTTAATCCTCGTAGTAATCGGATGGCTAGACCTCCGGCAAGAGTAACGAAACATCATAGAGAAAAGTCAACCCACTAGGAATCAATGGGTATTTGGTGAATGAGCGAGAAAGAAAAGCAAAGTCACCCTCATAAAAAAAAGGAACCTCAAACTTGGCGAGAAGTCGGTTAATGAGGCAACCGTAAGGAAGACCAAGGTTATTTCACTCAAAAGCGCGACCATTTTTTGAATAATTAGGGTGGCAAGGTCAATAGAACGGTGGTGAGCGATGCAACAAAGGACAAAACCTTGTTTTTGATTTATTTCGGAGCTGTGAATGGTGACGATTATGTTGGAATAAACAATGAGATTGAGTAAATGAAACTGGGGAAGTAGCTCATTTTGTTTGATCAAAGAGCCTTGGATCCACGAACGAGAAGCACCACACAAAGCAGTGGCCACCTTGTTAAAATCACAGGTAGGTCGAATAGGGAAATGATAATAACAAGGAAATACTTGACCAATACCCAAAAGCTCACGAATAAGATCAGGTGTAATAGTGATAGATTTAGACCCGACCCAGGTCTTGAAAGAAGGGCTAACATCGTCAATCCCTTCAATATTACAGTAAAATTTCCGCACCCAATCAAGATTTTGACGGCCAGAAAAAGAAAGGACCAAATCTCCCTCTAAAGGATCAAACAAAGGGCAAATGTGGATGGACTCAAAAGTGTTTGGCTGTACATTCCGCTCTAAATGAACTGTCCTAGAGGGGTAAGACTCTCTAAACAACTTGGCTTTTTTTGCCTAGGGAAACTGATCAGTATTATAGGAGGGACGAGTGGTAGTTGACTTCTTACGTTTTGCGGTGGACATGACTAAACCAAGGATAACCAAAGGAGACAACCACAAACCCCCCCAACCCAAGACAAGAACCAAAAAAAAAAAAAAACATTAGAAGCTGAGGTCAAATAGATAAAGATCAGATAGCCAAGATTAGTAACCAAATCATTAGTGAATAAAAAAACAAATGACAAACTCCAATGAGTAACATTTAGAAACAAAATCCAAAAAAGCATAATGAAAAGCACAAAAGAACATAGATCAGTAAGAAAACCAATTGATAAAGCCTAATATCCCACAACCCATTAGAGCATAAAACCAAAGAACCAAGAGAGTGACAAAATAGAATCACATTGCATACAAAAATCCCCAAACCAACCCCATGAGAAACTCAACTGGTACAACCTACTATGAAAGTGTGTGAACAAGTGGAGAACAACAACTAAACACAGAGATGAAAATACCACACCCAATGCCTCAATCAGTCGAGAGAAAAAAACAATACCAAAACAAAACAAAGTAACAAAGAGGAAGAAGGAGATAAACCTGAGATGGAAGAAGAGCACGTAAAAGCAAGGAAAGGCACGCACGCAAAGCAATCCAAGTTGCAAGAGGAAGGCAAGGCACCACCGACGAAGCCCTAGGAGAGAGGAAGAGGTTTTGGGGAGAAATGGACTAAAGAGTCAAGGGTTGAGTTTTTAAAGCGAACCAGCCCACTCGAACGAGGGTTTGAACGCTCGAGTGTGAGCCTCAACACGAGTGGCTACGCTTGAGCAAGGAATCATATGCTCGAGTGCCAAAAACAACTGCTCAGAAGTTTGAAAACTCTGCAAAAATGCTGGAAGAAGGAAATGTACGCTCAAGCGTGCGAGTTTTCGCTCAAGCGGAAAAGAAAAACAACAATGACCAAAACCACCTTTGCAGAGCAATTAAAACAAACTCGTATTGGGAAGTGTGACCTGAAACAAACAAAAGTGAGCATAATAGCAAGAATGTAACACCAGGATGGGATAATCCACAAACCATGAAACTCGCAAACTTGCAAAGCTGACATTATGTAGCACAAAATCATGAGCAAAACAGATAAAAATTAATCAATGATCATAAGCTACATAAGAATGCACAACTCAAAAACATACATGAGAGGTCACATAATGAATGTATATGTGCAATCCTTGAG